GGGCTGATCCTGTCACTATGATCACCCACTTAGGTGAATTCTCGGATTGTCTCAACATACTCAGGTTTTGACCCCTTCTAAGGATCTCACTGATTGGCATATCAAAGACAACCCAATCCGACACCTAGTGCAGTATCATAATCGAGTCTAGGGGTCAGGTGTAATATTTTAGTTTTGCCCATCTATCTCCAAGGTCCAGGGCAATTCTGGAATTTTGGTCTAGTTCAGGGTTTCAAGAAAACCCACACTGCATGTACTTCAGGTCTCACCCTGGCAGCTGAGACAAGACACCCCAACCAACTTGGCGGTACATCAGTGTCAGCCTTGGTAGGATAAATCTCCCCAAATCTATCCAACGACTGTGAATATTCTAAATTAACATGAGTCTCATAAGTGTCCAATTTTAGAGTATTACATATAAAAACACCATAATGATTTGGATCAATTATGTATTTTATTCATTTACAATAAATGTCAAAAAGGTACATCAATCTGATTGGAGCTAAAGGGCATAACTGTCTAATAGCTCCCACTTGCACTTAGGTCCAATCGGGTACAAGCCGAAGTCCCAGACTTTCCACGTGTTTCTCAAACACTTTCTATGTTAGTGGCTTAGTCAATTGGTCTGCCACATTCTCCGCTGATGCTACCTTTTTACACTATCCTCCCGTATGTCCAGCGTTGTCATACAACAGTGGAATGGGTGATGTGCTGAATTCCAAATTCCAGAATGAACACCTTCATTCTTTAGGCAGCCTCACTTACGGCAATGTGTTCGGCTTGGGTTGTGGACTGTTCTTCTTACTACTCAGGACCCCATTGTGAAGATGTAACCAGATGTATTCGTTCTACCATCTAGATCTGACTGGAAATCGGCATCAGTATACCCCTGGATCTGTGGTAAACTACCATCGAATACTAGACAAACATCTTTTGTCCTTCGAAGGTATTTTAGTATGTTTTTCACAACAGTCCAATGCTCCTGCCTCGGGTTATATTGGTATATGCTTACCACACTCACTGCTTAAGAAATGTCAGGACGAGTGCACAATATGACATACATGATGCTCCCTACGGCTGAGGCATAGGGAACCTCTTTCATGCCTTCAATCTCTTCGGGTTTCTTGGGAGACATACCCTTGGAGAGATTGACTCCATGCCTGAAAGGAACATTTCATTTCTTGGATTTCTCCATGCTGTATTTCTTGACTATTTTGTCAATGTAAACAGACTGGGATAATCCTATTATCCTCTTTGATCTATCTCTATAGAGTCGAAGAGCTAATATGTAGGAGGCTTCTCCAAGATCTTTCATGGAGAATTGTTGTGAAAGCCACACTTTCACCGTAGTTAACATTCCTACATCATTCCCAATGAGTAGAATGT